CAATCCAAGTTGCTGGGTTTGTTGACCCATGGAGTAACATTAGGTTTATAGTGGAGTGATATATTTTTGGCATTTATTAGCAGACCTGAAAGAACTTTGTAACATGTACTGGTAAACAACTACCCTGAGCATTTCTCACTTGCATTACAACTTATTCATTTACTTAATAAATCATGAATTTTGTCTTCAGGTTCTATGTAGCTAATGCAATAGATATTAGAACCTATAGATAAAAATAGAGAACACTAGTTAAAAAAACGCAATTTGTAAATAAAGTCTATTGGAGTTTATTTAGTTGGTTTAATTATAAATTCAATTGCAAAAAAATAACTGGCTGCACAGGATAGTTTTGGCTTGAAGTAGCCAATCATTAAGTGTTGAGCATTGTTCCCCTAAATCCTTACCCCTTGCCTACTATCAACCTGCTTTCTATCTATAGAGATTTACCTATTGTGAATACTTATAAATGGAATTATGTAGTAGATGCTATTTTTAAACATCTAGCTCTATCACTGAATATGATGTTTTTTGAAGTTCATCCTTGTAGCATGTTACTAGAACATTCCTTTTAATGGTTATGGTATAATCCATTTCACACTTGTACCACATTTTGTTTGTTTATTCCTCTGTTGTTGAGCATTAGAACTATTTCCTCCTTTATGTGAATGGTGCTGCAATGAGCATTCATGTAAAGTACCTGTTTTCACTTTTCTGAGTATATGTTTATGAGTGGAATTGCCAGATGATATGGTGAGTCTGTGTAGATGCTTCTGAGGAACTGCCAGATTGTTTTCCGTAACAGGTGTGTCAGTTTACATTTCCACTTCTGAGGTATTTTGAGTTCTAGTTTCTGTACATCATTGCCAGTGTTTGCTCTTTTCATTATTTTGAGACTATACTAATAAGTGTCAAGTAATGTCTCCTTGTGGTTTTGATTTCTTTTTCTCTAAAGACTGGTGAAGCTGAGCCTCTTTGCACATATTTATTGACCATTTGTACATCTTTGGAGACAAAACTATTCAAGTATTTTTCCCTTTTTCAAATTGGGTTCAATTTGATAAAAATCTAAATTATTTGGGGTTTTCTTGTTTGTATTTTTTGGGTTTTTTTTTGTTTTTTCCTCTAAAAATCCAATGTTATATCCAAGGTCATGAAAATTGAACCCTACATTTTCTTAGGTGAGTTTTATAGTGTTAGTTCATACAAGTTTGATTCGTTTTCAGTTGATTATATGGTGTAGTTATCAAAGATACCATCTTTCCCCCCATTTAATGATTTTGGCACCCCTGTCAAAAGTCATTCGACCATAACTGTATGAGTTTATTTCTGGACTCCCATTTTTACTCTTGGTCTATATCAGAAGGCTTCATAAAGTTCCTGGGAAAATGGAATTATACTCGAGTATAAACCGACCAGAATATCAGCCTAGGCACCTAATTTTACCGTAAAACTGCATTTTAAATGTGCTAGAAAACTGCTTATCCAGGAGTATATTCGGTAATAGAATCCACCCCACCCCAATCATCTTGAAGCCCTCTTATGTATGTTGTGAATGCAACTGGGTTCTAATTTCATTTTTAGGTTATTTAGTAATGTTTAGTACTAGTATTATATAAAACTCCCATCTGTTTCATGTGTATTAATTTTGTATCATGAAATTTTTCTGACTGCATTGTTTAGCTCTAGTAGCTTTTTTTGTCATCTCATAGGTTATAGAGTTAGAATGGACTCAACTATAGTGAGTGAGCTTTCTTGTGTATTCTTTGGGACTTTCTATAAATAAGATTATGTCATGTGCCTTCTTACTGCCAAGATAGAGGTAGAAGTCCAATCAGCCTTCATTGACCTCTGAAATAGAAAGGTGGTAGAGTGTCTCTTAATTCAGAGTGATAGTACAAGTTCAAGTTTCCACTCATCCTCTGGTAATATTCTGAGGAAGGAGCAAGAGTGGGTTCCTTGTTACTCTGGGATCGTGGTAAACGCCTAGTTCTCCACTTAACCTTTCCTGATGGGATGAATACAGGTTCTAAAACCCCAAAAAAAGTCAAAAATCACTGTCATCGAGTCAGGGTTGACTCAGTGACTCCTGTGGGTTTCCAAGATTATAACTGTTCACAGAAATAGAAAGTCTAGTCTTTCTTCTATTGAGCTACTGATTTTGAATGGCCAACAGTGAGAATTGTAGCCCAAATTATAACCACTATATCACCAGGGCTCCAGTGGTATTTGATTAGAAAAGACTATTATTGAGTGGCAATCATGGTGCTTCTTCCTCTCCTCCCAGTCCCCACCCCGACCCTTGTACTGCAGCCCTAGTGAAATTCTTTGTAACTCGAGGCAAGGCTGGGTAGCAGCATCTACATAGCCAAAAGCAATAATAATGGCATGCTTTATGTGATATCTGTAATGGGAGAAACAATCTCAGTTACTGCTGAATGTGGGGGCACTCCTAAATTGTAAAGTTTCCAGCATCAATTCCTGCTTTTCCAGCATACACATTTTAAAAATTATTTTATTGGGGGCTCATACAACTCTTAAAACAATCCATACATGCATCTGCTGTGTCAAGCACATTTGTATGTTTGTTGCCATCATCATCCTCAAAACATTTTCTTTCTACTTGAACCCTTGGTATCAGCTCCTCATTTTTCTGCTCCCTCCACCTCCCCCCTCCATCATTAACTCTTGATAATTTGTAAATTATTTTGTCATGTCTTACACTGTACGACGTCTCCCTTCACCCACTTTTCTGTTGTGTCCATCTCCCAGGGAGGAGGTTATATGTAGATCCTTGTAATTGGTTCCCCCTTTTCACCCCACCCTCCCTCCACACTCCCGGTCTTGCCATTCTCAGCACTGGTCCTGAAGGGATGATCCATCATGGATTCCCTGTGTTTCCAGTTCTATCTGTACAAGTGTACATCCTCTGGTCTAGCCAGATTTGTAAGATAGAATTGGGATCATGATAGTGGGTGGGGAGGAAGCATTTAGGAACTTCAGGAAAGTGGTATGTTTCATCATTGTTACACTGCACCCTAACTGGCTCGTCTCTTCCCCACGACCCTTCTGTAAGGGATGTCTTGTTGCCTACAGATGGGCTTTGGGTCCCCAATCTGAACTTCCCCTCATGCACAGTGATATGATTTTTTGTTCTTTGATGCCTGATACCTGATCCCTTCAACACCTCGTGATCACACAGACTTGTGTGCTTCTTCCATGTGGGCTTTGTTGCTTCTGAGCTAGGTGGCTGCTTGTTTTCCTTCAAGTCTTTAAGACCCCAGAAGCTATATCTTTTAATAGCCGGGCTCCATCAGCTTTCTTCACCACATTTGCTTATGCACCCACTTTGTCTTCAGTGATCGTGTTGGGAAGGTGAACATCATGGAATGCCAGTTTAATAGAACAAAGTGTTCTTGCATTGAGGGAGTACTTGAGTGGAGGCCCACTGTCCTGTCCATCTGTTACCTTAATACTAAACCTGTAAATATATACACATAGATCTATTTCCCCATCCTCCTCCTATATAAATATATTTACATATGGATATGCCTTTATTTAGACCTCTATAAATGCCCTTTGTCTCCTAGTTCTTTCCTATATTTCCTTTTACTTTCCTCTTGTCCCACTATCATGCTCAGCCTTCATTTGAGTTACTATAATTCCTCTCGGTTACATTACCCTTGATCACGCCCTACCAGGCCTCCTACACCTTCCACACCCCTGATTTGGATCACTTGTTGTTCCCTTGTCCCTGGGTTTGTCAATACCCCTTCCCTTCCCCCTATCTCCCCCTCTCCCATGTTCCCCTGGAACTGTTGGTCCCATTGTTTTCTCCAGATTGTTCATCCAGCCTATCTTACTTAGACCCGTGGAGATGATAACATGCACAAAAACAAGACAGAGCAAAACAAAGCAACAAAAGAAAAGCAACAACCAAAAAACCAATGAGAAAAAAGAAAAGCCTATAGATAGTTCAAGACGGTTGGCCTTTTGGAGTGTTTTCTGGTCGAGTCTGATGGGGTGCCACGCTTTGGCCCCAAAGTCTAGTTTTGGTATTCCCTGGGGGTTTCATTGCTCTCTTTCCCTTGCTGTTCTGTTGCACACCCTTCGTGTTTTGCCTCGGTGTAGTGGGGTCAGATTGGACATAATTCCCACACTGTGTCTCCAGTGTTGTCCCCTGTTAGGGCTATGAGTCATAGTGGGGCTGGCTCTATGGTCTTCTCTGTGGATTGGCTGCTCTGAACGGGCATATCGTCCTCAAGGCTTGGTGGGCCAGGATGTGGTCCACTCTTTCTTCTACCCCCTTCGTTTCCTCCCATGTGCTCTGATCAGACTTGTCCCTCTCCCAAAGTGTACTTCTTTAATGTGGGGTCCACACCCCATGAGAACTCTTTTTGAGGAACTGTCCAAGCTATTGAAAAAGACAAAGTTGAAATTTTAAGAGTTTCCACCCAAGTGACATTGTCTTGGCCAAAGTGATCACTCTAGAAAAGGACAGTTATTGTCAAAAATGTTTTCTGTCTTGCTGACCTGTACCTTTTTCAGTCCTCTCTCTGGAAAGACCTGGTTTCTCTTGTTGATTGCATCTACCTGACCACTTATATACATCTCGGTGTGAAGTCCAGGAATATATAGCAGGCAAATAGGAAACCCAAGGAACTCACTGTAGTGTGAAGTCCCAGAGGCCCTTAAGTGGTTAACCTCATTTTCTTAATTTTGTTTTTATGTGTTACATTCAGAGGTCTTAGCTATATGTAGTGTGGGAGGAATGCATAGAAATGTATTCCTCTTGTATGAGACTGGATCTCATATGGTTTAAAATGAAAAGTCCATTAAGAACTTATTTAAAAAATGAAATGCATAAAAGTTAATTCATTCTTAAAAATATATTACCAACACATTGCTGTAACTTACTAAGTTGTACGTAGTTGTTTTTAGTTTAAGTATATTTCTCGTTGTAGATACAGATTTGTATATAAAAGCATTTATTTTTTCCTTAGGATTATGTACTGAAGGACTCTACCGTGTTAGCGGAAACAAAACTGATCAAGACAATATTCAAAAGCAGTTTGATCAAGGTAAAATGATGATTGTTTTATTGTTTTCCTTTTTGGAATTTCATGATGGGAAGATTTATTTTAATTTTAAAATCTCTTAAGGAATCTAAGGAAAGGGAAAAAAATTGACATGCAATATTTTCCTTAAAAAAACAACAACAACAAAACCCAAGATATCCATCAAGCAAACCTTTAGGACAGAGTAGAACTGTCGCTGTGGTTTTCCATTGTAGCAGAAAGCCTCATCTTTCTCCTACAGATTGCTTGATGGGTCCAAATTACTGACGTTTTGGCGAATACCCCAACATGTATCCCACTATACCAGAAGTATTAATAAAACAAGTAGTACTGTCAAGAAACTAAGTAACTTAAGCACACTGTAAGGACAGTCCATACTATAGAGTTATTTGGTATTAAGGAGTTGAGAACAGGCAGTCTTGGGATTTAAACAGGTCTCTTTTTGACTGTGTCATTAAGAATTTGTAGGTTGGTCAAAATAAGTGCATACAGAGCTTATTTAGCTTTACTGTAGTCCAGGAAAAGGGTCAAATGATTTAAAAGCTGTACACACAAGTATTTAAATTTTGGGTGCAAGTAGGGATTAGTTTTATTGTTTCACAATGAGGGCAAGTTTACATAAACATAATACCAGGATTCTGAAAGAACTCACCATACCATTCCAGGTCTTTGACTCATAATTTTCCAATTCCAGTTATTTTGCTGAATCTTCAAATTATAAAAGTTCAGATCTGTTTGCTTTGCAGGCTTGATTAAACTGGTTCATATCCGTTAAAAGCCCTCTTTAAAGGACAAATGGAAACTGTCTGTTAGGCAGATGTTAGTAATCCAGGGTCAAAGAAATTATAAGAAGTATAAGTATCAAAGTGGAAATAGGTGATAGGGAATTTCTTTTGCAGTGGAAGAAAAAAAGTGATGCTGGTAAAAAGAAGCAATTTGATCAAGAAAATATAATACTGTATTTTTTAATGTAGGTGTTAAATCAGAAGAGGAGCTAGTAAATAAGGAATTGAGGTACTAAAAAGAAAATCTACTAGGTATTCAAACACTCATAGACAGCGGGTTCAAAGTGATTCTGGAAAACCTCGCCCCTGGAGAAGCTGCAGAAAGACAGTGCTACCAGGTTCCTGTCCCGTTCTCACACTCCGACAGCTCCAAGTGCACCGACCCCACCGCACATATCTTATTTTGAAGTAAAAAAACAAAACGGACAAAAACACCCAGCGGGCCGGATAAATGTCCTCGGCGGGCCACAGCTTTGAGTCATTGTCTCCATAAAATTTTTGTAGAGCACAATGATTTCACCTTAATGCTTCTTGGTGCTTAAAACTAGGCCCTGTTGTGACATGTTATAACTAGTCAGTAGAAGTTTATTTTGGTACAAGAAAATTGTGAAATCCATGCATAATTTTCTCAAAATGGATTTCCATAAGCTTTTTTTTGTAATCCCTTGTGTATATATATTATGAATGTTATATTAAAATTATCTGTATAAGTGCAGTTACCTAGTTACCCAGTCATTTTCTATATTAAATCTTTGCTGTTGTTTAGATTTTACTTTAATATGAGCTCAAAAATTTTAAATATTCATCAGAGGTTGATTTTACAATCTTGGAATAGCAAAAGACCTAAATTTGACATGAAACCTTGCCAGCATGAATTAAGATGGTAAACTGCTGTTTAAAAAGCAGAAATTCTGTAAGAAAAGGTGACAAATTATTTGGGAAGAATATGGATTACCTATGCTAACTTAAAGGATTCTTGTTGACCCTTTTGGGTAAGCGTTGAACTGCTAACAGTAGAGTTGTTGTTTCAAACTCACCAGCCATTCTATGAGAGAAAGACGAGCCTGCCCTTGTTAAGATTTTATAGCCTCAGAAGCCCTATGTAGTGTCATTATGAATTGGAAGTGACTTGATGACAGTAGGTTTTTGTTTTGATTGAATGATAGATTAAGCAATTTACATCAGAAGAAAGTGGCTAACCAATATGAAAAGCTGCTTTAATATTTAAAACTAAATATTAAAGTGAAACAATTGCATTTGTTGCCAGAGCAAAAAGATTGATGAGTGGGGTGTTATACTTATCAGCTGAGACCAAACCATTTGTACCACATAGGGACCTTGTTAATGTCATCATCTCTTGAATTAGACTTTCTGGGTTTGTTTCTTGATTCTGCCAACTTTGATCTTTGTACCCCAGGCTATTTAATATCTTTAAAACTCAATTACAGCATCTCTAACGATCTCTAATGATCAGAATAACTATGAAAAAATAATGAAATAATACTGAATGGAGTTTTCAGGCCCTGTATTAAAATGTTTATTTGGTACCGGCTATTTAAGTATTTATTCTCAAAAAATTTAGTATAGACATCAAAGGACCAAATAAGAATTTATATGTAAAATTCCTCTTGTTTTTTCTTTATGGCCTTGTTTAAATGCTTTATGTAAACAAGAGAAAATAGATATTAGTAAATGTTAAAAGTTCTTTAATACAAGCCTTATGCTTGTGAAGAGAACAATTCTTGTTTTGTTCTCTCATTTATGATCTGTACAGCTTACTAGATATTTGTGGGTTTATCAGGTGCAAACTTAAAATAAAAAATTGGGGGCAAGAATTTCTTTATCTATGTAAAGAAATATTTTCAATGAAAAGACCAATTTAGTTTTTTCATCCTATTATAAAGTTTATTTATACACATTGTTGATTGATTAACATTTTAATTTTGTTTTATAGATCATAATATCAATCTTGTTTCAATGGAAGTAACAGTAAATGCTGTAGCTGGAGCTCTTAAAGCATTCTTTGCAGATCTGCCAGATCCTTTAATTCCATATTCTCTTCATCCAGAGCTATTGGAAGCAGCAAGTAAGTATAAATCTCCCCCTTTTAAGGGGGTATATTAGCAGCACTGCTTGGATAATGATTGTTAAAGTGTTGAAATCAGTCGTGCACCAGATTACATAGCTAGTAAAATTCAACTTGCTAGAACAGTGTTTTTAAAGACATTTTCCTTGAAATCTAAATAAAATGAGAATCCCTTGGGGGCAGCCCTGAGTTTTAACTGGTTTTCCAGGTGTTTTATATGATTCTAGAGTTTGAGAATCATTACCGTTCTTAATATGTTTCAAATATATTCTTGAATGCCTCACAAAGCATTATCAAATATTAGTTAAATTAAACATATTCATACTAATTCCCAATGCATTAATTTTCCAGAAATCTTGGACAAAACAGAGCGTCTTCATGCATTGAAAGAAATTGTTAAGAAATTCCATCCTGTAAACTATGATGTGTTCAGATATGTAATAACACATCTAAACAGGTAATTTTATTTTGTTGTATTTTATAGATAAAACTCACTACACTTTCCAAGTGTGTAATTTTATAAATTAAACAGTATTTTTTTCTAGCCTGGATTTTTAATCAAAGAGTTTTATTTAAAAGGGTAAAACATAATTTTAATTTTAAAAAGACATATTAACTTTACCAACTTATTTATAATTGAAAAAATTGAGACTTGGAAAAATTTTGTTTAAAGTCACAATCAGTGAAAATTTTGAAGTTTTTTTGATTTGCTTTCTGTGTCACATTGTGTTGCCTTTGTAAGTTTTGTTTATTTGGGGCAGAGTAGAACTACCCCATAGGTCTTCTAAGACTGTAAGTTTGACAAGCAGAGAACACCACATTTTCCCCCTGAAGGTCACCAAACTTTTGGCTAAAACTTCAGCACTTACCCACTGTCCTACCAGGGCTCTTTTTTTGCCAGGGTTAAATAGGATTATTAATATGTATGGCTTTTTCCTCCCCCCGGAAGTCTACTCATAATATTTCTTGTTGACATTTTAATGAATGTAAATTTTTTCATGTTTGTTTTTCATTAACACTGTTGAGTTCCTAAACCAAATCATGTTAATTTGGTACCTCTTAAAGAGATTGTTGATGTTTAAATTTGATTTTTGCTATCACTAGTGTAAACTCTTACATGTTTTATAATTCCTCCTTAAAAGTTTGCTCTTAGAACAAAAACCAAAACAGTATTCTTATATTTTGGTATAATCTGTGAAATTTAATTATTTTTGAAAATTACAGTACTGTGCTAATGATATGTGATTTGTTCCTTATGTAATGTGCACAAGGTGCTGTGGACTTAATGCACACAATGCACAGTCTTGGGATAGTTTTCTTTGGTTTGGGGTTAGTGTTCCAGAAAAGCAGCCAACATGGCTCAGTGGTTAAGAGCTTGACTGGTCTTTCTGAGCCACCAACCACTCTACAAGAGAAAGAGTAGCAGTGTGCTTCTGTAAAGATTTTCATTGTTGTCAAATGGATTCCAACCCAGGGAATATAGAGGACAAAGTAGAATTGCCCTAAAGGGTTTCTAAGACTTGTACGTGTTACAGTAGCAAACTGCCATTTCTTTCACCCAAAGAGTATCCATTTGGTTCAAACCATCACCTTCATGCTTACCAGCTGAGTGAATTTACCACTGCACATCTTCTATAAAGATTAAACCTTGGAAATCCTATGGTGTTCCTCTGTCTTACATGTTCCCTATGAGTCTTTATTAACTCAGCAACACATATTTTTGTGGTTCCCAGAGCAGTTGTTAGACTTTGTTGAAACTAAGTATATAAGACAGACAAAAGTATATTTGACACATTGAGGAATAGAGGCCTGTGTAATTGTAGGCTAGTAAAAGATGAGCAGAATAAAGAGATGAGATCAAAAGGGAAGAACGGTAGCAGATCACATAGACTGGAGTACTTGAAATGCTCAGAGTGATGTGTTGACTGACTTTTTTACCGACAAGGCCTTGAACTTATACTATAACTCGCCAGTGTCACTAAAGGACACTGTTGAATTAAACTTTTTTTTAAGGGAGACTTTCATTGAAAGCAACCTTGCATGTTATATATTATCTGTTACTCTGAGTTGCATGAGGAACAGAGGACTAACATGATCAGACTTAAAGTTTTAAGGATTGCTTGACTGTACTATAGGAGGGATGTGATACCTCTAAGTGCTGGGGACACTGCAGTGGAAAAACTTTATCCATTTCACGGGGTCTACATTCTAGCATAGGAACTTAATCATTGATAAATACATAGAGTGTTGAATAAATTGCAAAGAACAGAAAGCTACTTTGTGGAGTTACTCTTTTATTGTTGTTAGGTGCCATCCAGTCTGTTCCAACTCATATAGTAACCAGACACCATCTACTTCTTGTGGTCAATAGTCATTGAACTAAGTGTTTTCCATATATATATATTTTTTCTCATTCGTTTTTCCTCTGAACAAGCAGAAACCAATATTTGCACCTTAGATGGCTACTCAAGAGTTTTAAGACCCCCACTTGCCATGCAAAAAGAATGTAGAATACTGTCTTTGTGAACTATGTCATGCCAATTAGCTGTGGTGTCCGCTAACACTATGGTCCTGATCCTCCAGGTCCAGTGACTTTATTTCCTCAAAGTGTTGTTATGTCTAAGACGTTCTCAAAACCCTGTCCTCATATGCTCCACCATATTCATGGGTATATTTGCCTCAAAGGTAAAAAGATAGATGGGTGGGTGGGTAGGTAGGTAGGTAGATGCACGCACATTCCCACTTTCCCATGCCAGTTCTTGTAGACCACCATGATTAACTGTTTTACCACGTTTTTTTACAAAAAGTTGGTATTACTCAAAATATTTTAATTTAAGCTCTTCACAGATATTATTATTATACCACATTTTAAAGCTGAGACTTGCAGCTTTTGTATTTAGGTGGGAAGAAGGTGAGGGGTCCTTTGCTTTAGATAGAATCTTTTTTAATAATGTATAAGATTTACCTGCTACCCTGCATCCTTGTGGGCTTGCTTTTTAACGTGTGAAAATGAGGGGATAGGCTGAAATTCCTACGGTGCATCCTAGTTTAACAGTTTGAGTTATCTAAGATGTGCCATCTATAAACAAGTTAATAATATGTGATTAGTTGCATTTAAATCATTGAATTGAATATTGTAAATGCCATTTGTTACGTTCAAGGTCGTGTTAAAAGGATTATTTAGGGGACGTTGGCAACTAGTTATTTTTTGAAACTTGAACATTCTGGTTGGATGTGATAATGTATTTTTTCCTGAGCTAATTAAAGATAATTGTGTATTTTGGTTTTATCAAATCTTTTGGTATTTCAAAATAGTCAAAACATTTGTATATCATATTAGTACTGTGTTTCTACCTGGGAATGCTTTAAAATTTATCATATGACTTTCCTCCAAAGGGAAAACTTTTTGCATTCAAATAATGTGCCTTCCATACTTGGGCACAGAGGGGCTTCAAAAAGCTTGATGTGGCTAAAAAAGGAGATAAAGTAAAACTAAAGTGGACTTGGAGTATTTGATGACATACAAGTTTATTTCAAACACTTAACAACAAAGTTTCATGTAAAATGTCCATTATCTTTTAATTCCACTTTCCATGACCTTTTTGAAGCCCCTTGTAAAACCGTAAGATGCCGCTCTTTTGAAAAGTTATCTTTGATAATCCTAGGAATAGATTTGTACTGCTTATTAAAATGTAGTTTAATACATGAGAAGAAATGTGAGATTAAAATGTAAAGCCAAATAATGATATCCATCTCCATGATTTTGTAATTATAGTGGGTTTTATCAATGTCTAAGTATTTCTTCCTTTAATTTCAGGGTTAGTCAGCAAAATAAAATCAACCTAATGACAGCAGACAACTTATCCATCTGTTTTTGGCCAACCTTGATGAGACCTGATTTTGAAAATAGAGAATTTCTGTCTACCACTAAGATCCATCAATCTGTTGTTGAAACATTCATTCAACAATGTCAGTTTTTCTTTTACAATGGAGAAATTGTAGAAACTGCAAACACCGTGGCTACTCCGCCCCCTTCGAACCCAGGACAGTTGGTAGAGCCAATGGTACCACTTCAGTTACCACCACCATTGCAACCTCAACTGATACAACCACAACTACAGGCGGATCCTCTTGGTATTATTTAACTAGAAAATAATTGCAGAAAGCCTGAAATTGGACAAAAAGCAAATCTAGACATGCATGTTTCAGGGTTCAGTAGTATACTTTGTTTCATACTGATAATTCACATTCAAAATAATGAGACATTTTCTTTTTGAACTCTGATATTCCTTATTCATTAACATTACAGATCTAAGACCATGTGATAAGCATGACGGGAGAGGTTTAATTTTTATAAACAAAAATAGCTATAAAATACAAAGCTGCTGCTGCATGCAACCTTATTGCAATCAATATATCATTCCTGTGGCAATTTCTGTCACATATTGTGAATAAAATTTTTCTATAGAAATTAAATGACTTAAAAAACTCAAATATATGAAACATTAGTGCTTTTTACCCTGCATTATGGCTGATTTTGTTATTTGATGTGCTAATTTGGGCTATTTAATTTACATTTTAGCAGTCTGTTTAGATTACGGTAAAAGCCCGGTTATGTATTTTATAATTTCAAGCTACTTATGCCATGCTTGGGATGTTATATGGAAGAAAGAAAAAAATATATACTTGACATACTTCACATTTCTGCACATTCATCGTTACGTCTACCTAAACTTGTGGATTATTTGATGAGGGGTAAATGAGCGTATTTCTTGTACACACATACCAAGGACATGCTTGTGGTTAAAGTGAATTGATAATGTTGTGCAAAGATAGCTGTCACAAAGTCATTTCTTAATGATCCACAAGGAAGCAAACATTTTGTATACTGTTAATTCTGTAAACAGATGCATGTCAAAAGATCTTTGATGGTCTTGTAATCTTAATCTAATATATTTTAGATATTTTAATTTTTTTCCCTCTTGGGGAATACATTTAGTATAGTATAGAAAATAGTTCATGACATTTTCATAAAAGTTATGTAACTTTTCATACATAAACGTGAAATTTGTTGTAGAAAATTCTTTAAACCAAACATTTTAATCTAGGACTTTGATTTAATCTGTTCCTTGAATCTATTTTTATGTGGCCCTTAAAAAGACATCCAAAAATCCATTGCTAATATAGCAATAAAAATACTTTGGGTACTGACAGCCTCTTTGGAGTGTGTGTATGTATAAAATTACAAACTTATAGTCACCTTTTTTTTTTTTTCTGTGATATGTTGTACTAAAATCACAATGGTTTTTGCACCATATTTGTTCTAAACAACTGCTGCTTTGGGAGTTAAACCATTTGTTAGTGAAGATGCAGCCAGAACACTAAGTTATGGGGAAAGTTTTCAAATTAGATGATACAGGTAAATCGTTTTGATTTCATTTAAATTTTTTTCATAAACCATGCTCTCCCACTCCCCCCTTTTTTTTCTGGAAAGGAAAAGAATGGTTTGGTTTCCATATTTTATGTAGTGAAAAAAAATCATGTCATCAATGTTGGAGTAACCTTCATTCATAATGCAGTTTTAAGGTTGTTTTATGTATATTATAGTAAATAGATCTTGAGATTCAAGGCTCTCCTAAAAATTTGATTTGCTACATTTTTCTTGAAATAAATACTGTCTTTCCCAACTGTTATGTTCTAAATATTATACTTCTAACTTCAGAATCAAAATATCAAAATGAACCAGGCTGCTGTTAAAGTACATGTATATTATAAATTATCTTATTTGTGTTATACTCTTACATGTTATTATCTTTTCTAAGAAAACAAAGTCCCTATTATTCCTATTGCAAAGCACACAGGAATTAAGAAAGTACAGTAATTTTTTTTTAATCCGGTAAATGTAGTATTCTTAACTTGTTCAATATTACTTATACCTATTGTCTATATAGCTTTAATTTATAGCTGTCAGTTTAACATTGGCATGTCTGGCAAAGAAAATTAAACTTTAAGAGTTTTATAAACTGTTTCTAGGTTGCTAAAGAATTTATTTTTCTACTATATATGATATAGACAAAGCATCAAACTATGTACAGGAAGAAAGCCTGACTATTTCTATTGGAAGTAGCTGAGAAAAGAATTTTCAGAACTATTCATGTCAGTTCATTCTGTCATAACTTTGCTATTGTAATATGTGAATCCAGTTTATTTAAGCTATTCTCTTTTATACTATGTTAACTTCTGTAGTACCATTTATGTGTTATAGCTAGCATTTACCATTTTCCACATTAACCACCTTACCAACTACCCCAGTACTTTATTTTACTGTTCATTCTATCATTGATTGGATGCACTTCATAGTGAGTTACTTAAACAGTCTGCATTTGGTGCAGTTAACCAGTAGATTACAGTTGATGAAAATTAAAATATGGTTTTAAAGCTCAGTCTGTTACACTGAATTGTGTTTGTTTCTGCCAAGGGTTTATATAAATTTTTAATTATTAGAAATAATTCTAAGCAGAATAACAATTAAATTTTTTTCTGATAAGTACAGGAAAGATTTATTCTTTAAGGACATTTCATATATGAGACTTCTTAAAGGATTGAAAGAATATTAGATAGTCTCATATTTAATGGGAAAACACACGGCATTACACTTTCCATTTCTAAATAAATGCCATCTACATATGTTCCATTGTTTCATTTAAGGTTCAGTGCTTGTAATTTTACAATATTGGACTGAACAGTATCTAGATTCACAATATAAAGAAGCATAGTGGTACTCTTTCAAACTTTCAGTAGATTTATTGAAAGTGACTATATCCAACAGACATATTAGGAACATACAATTTAAGAACAAAATTTCAGGCACAATATATCTTTGTTTTAAAATGGTATTTGTTAGTAGTACCTGTTTTGATTGTTTTAACGTTTATGATGTAAATACTGTAGGTAATGGCAATCTAACTCAGCTGAAAAGCAGCTTTTATTTTCCATACTGTATGTAAATACTGTAGAGTTTTTTGAGGTACTGGAATTTAATTTCTAATATCTCTAGATATAAACAAAAGGGAACAGTTGGAATAAGAATGTAGGCCTTAGCTTCCATGGTGATTTTTAGTTTTTTATACAGTAATGTGATGCTATTTGTCAACTGGATATAAATATATATAATTTTAAAAAGTAAAATGCTTTGTTTCTTTGTTTTGCAATTAATGTAATTTTGTGCTTCACCTACAGGATGCTGCAGTGAACTAAATATCAATGAAGCTTATTCTGTATAAAGATGCTATGAATAAAATATTAAGAAGCTGTATAATTTTAAGTTCTAGTTGCCTCTGTTTTTACCATTACATTGGTAAAAATCAGCTAATTTCTCCAGTAAAAAAATGAAACATGAAAATTTATATCAGTAAGAAAGAAATCTAATTAGATATTCTTGAGCTTTTACTATACAATGTAGGGATGTCCAAAATTAATTCTGGGTGTGTACAGATGAAAATTGGATCTTTAAAATGGTCATGAAAATGATAAGCACATATTTCTAAAACTCAACTGTTATCCTAATCTGAAATTTGAGCTATGTCTAGGATGGTCTTTAGAACTACTGGAAGCATTTTGAAGCCTCTTGTGTTTGCTTATGTAGACTGTAACATTTTTGTCTTTTTGGATTGCGATTACAAAGCCAAACTGTATAGTGTCACATCATTTGGATTTTGTGAGGTCTGTTTGCCGGTTTCAATGTAAGAATTTTTGAATAATGGACATGTTTAATTTTTTAAAATTGTATTTGAATTCTTGAAGTTCTCAGCAACCTTCCCAGGTTAAATATCTGAGAATAAAAATTTTTAAGGCAAAGGGGCTACCATTCATATCATTTTATAGGGTAGCATTTATGTATAGTTGAAAAGACCATACAAACTTTTAATGTCATATGCCAGCGTTACTCACTCATTAGATCTTATCCAAGTTCCATAGTCTTTCTAAAGTCTTTAAAATCTGGTGTATTAGTCTAGGTACTTTGGAGAAACAAATCCACAGCAACTCACGTATAAGAGAGAGTTTTATGCAAAGAAAATGTGCATCACGAAAACATCCCAACCCAATGCTGCCCAAGCCCACAAGTCCAACATTAACCCATACCGAACACCAGTCCACAAAGTCCTTCACCTCACAAAACAGAGGCAATAATGCCGACTGCAGGAGGAAAGCTGAGTCAGTGAACGTGTAAGCATCTCAGCACTGGCAGGGGTCTCCACATGGCTGCTCCAGCACCCAGGTCTGCATCGGGATAGATCCATGCGGCTTCTCCTTGGGGATGTCTTGTAGGAAATCCATCTTGCAAGCTGAAGCAGGGAACTGCTAAGGCAGCTGCACCCGATGCAACCATCACAAAACAAGAGACCCGAGAACTAGAAAGGCGAGGCTTCACCACCCATTTATCCCTCTGCCTTTCAACCAGCACCACATGTGATTATCGGCCAGGCTGGCACAATTAACTAACTCATCTGGTAAACAATTTTGGAACTCCTTACTATTCTAATGATGAGCATGATTTCATTTTCCCCTGCGGTATATTTATGTGTGAGGAGGTCGGGTATTGAAATCCAGTTTTTATATTCTTATCTTAATTAAATTGTATAATGTTATTTTTATAGACAAACTTTGCAAGTAGTAGGGATTTTTGAAAAGCTAATTGTGGTTAATTAACATTTTTTGTTATTACTAAGAATATATATAATTAAAAAATAGTTTTTGAAGTTCTGGTTTAGTCATTTTTACCAGTACTTAGGAGTACTCAGACCTGTATATTTGTACTTTATGTGTAGCTGTATTGGAATTTATAGTTGAGAAATAATCAACTCATTTATTCCCATAGTGCAGATTTTATTTTTAATCTTTGTGATCAGCGGCTGTCAGACCTGTTCTCTCAGTAGTGTGCATCTGGTTTAGTCTTATTAGGGTGCCTTCAAAAGATAGCTTTTGTGCTGTGAGTAGGGAAACAATTTGGATGTCAGGGCTACTATCAAATTTTTAGCAAAGCTTAAGTGGGCTTCTCAAATTATTACAGTTTTATGACAAATTTACATAAGCATAAGCAAACATTCTTAGAACACACATTTTAATGAATATATTAGACCAAAGATGAATTCAAGGCAGAGAAAACAACTCAGAAGGTTTTAGTGACTGTTGTAATCTTGGTAGAATTTTTACAAAGGGCATACATAGGATGATCATATGGGATTGTTTTAAAAGATTTAAGAAAATTGAAAACTGCATTGATGAGTAAAAGACCAGGAAACTTGACCTGTGCAATTAATTTTTCAGCTTGACAGTGCACCTGCTCATTCTTTGAAGGTTAGAAGGCTCAGCCAGTGGAAGTTTCTTTACAAAACCTTACCTCATCTGCTCTACAGCCTTGATCTTGCTCCTTCCGACTTCCTTTTGCTTCAGAAACTCAAATGTTTAAAAGGAATGTGATTTGAGTCCTTTGAGAGTACCAAAATTGCAATTTTGACATGAATCAACAGAATTCTTAGAGGAAGAATTAATCCACTGCCATCTAGCTGATCCAAGCTCACAGCAAGTCTGAATTGGATTTCTGTCAGTATAATTATTTGTGGGAGCAGGCAGCCTCATCTGAGTCTAAAGGAATGGGTTTGAACAGAGAACCTTGAGATTAGGAGCTCAGTGCTACCAAATTTCTTTTGGGGAAGAGATGGATGGAAACCCTGCCTTTAAAGATGTTCACATCAAAAAACAGGTTCACTTTTTTTTTTTTTTGCTTAGAGCCTGACCTATTAGAATGCCGACCTATTAATTCATTGGCTCGTAATCTGCTTCCATATTTGTTTTACTTACATACCTAATTATTCACTAGGCCATTTTGTAGTTGTGTTATCCTAAGCATTTAAGATTTTCTGATTCTTAACTTTACTAGCTTTAAATTTGGATTTACTGATTTTCCTTTTCTTCAGGTAAATATTTCATTTCATTCAAGTAAATATCAATAGGTGATCAGTAAACCAAAGTTAAATTTAATTCTCTAATATGTCAAATCAGAAGCTGTCCTTGTTTTTGCCAGACCTGAGTTATTTTTAAGTGTAAATGAAAAGATAAACACCTCGCTTATTAACACATTTCTTTAGATGTCCTCCTTCATATTTGCTTCTTTGGGAAATTCATTTCCAAAGTGTCCATCTTGTAAGAATGGCTGCTGGTGTTTTGGGTTATAGTTTTTGAAATGAGAGAAGCTATTGACTACCTAAAAATTACTCTAAAGTTACTTAATTACACTAATCAGAAATGAGCAAACTTTTCTGAAGAGCCATGTAGTAAATATTTTAGCATTGGCACCATGTTTTAATATAAAAGCAGCTGTATGTAAGTGAATGAATATAATAAATGAATATTTATGAATTTATTAATGAATATAATAAAGCTTAAAAATAGCTCACAGGTTATAGACAATTCCTGGTGCAAGTTATTAGTAAATCATAATGTATATGTAATGATTTATAGTATTTCGAAAATCATCTTCCTATAGCCCATTCTTAAAGGAAATACTCATTAGCAACCTGGTTAATGATAATTACTAGAGAGACAATCCTGCTTGCTGAAAGAGGACTTGAAGCACTTGGGAAAATTAAAGACAGTATGTGGATTGCCCCTCAACAAAAGTCCTCACAACAGAACCAGCTATACGGGAAGAAAATTAATTGGGTTTTATTTTATTTGAATCCATAACCAACTCCCATGGGAACAGCAGTCAAAATGATGTAGGCAGTCACTGCAAAAGGCCTCTTGAAAGTGTTAGCAAATGTATCACTCAGGTATGTCTGACCCAACCCAAGATATTTTCACTTGCCTCATCTATATTGAAAAACTGATCAAGGGATGTGGAAGACTGAAGAACTGCCTTTAAATTGTGGCTTTTGGAAAGGAATATTGAAATGTACCATTAACAACCAAAAGTACAAATAATCTTGGAAAACGTACAGCCAAAGGCCTCCTTAGAGTGAGGATGGTGAAACTTTGTCCCCTGTGCTTTGGCCATGTTGTCACGATCATCCACTACCTGGAGAGAAGAACATTGTGTTTGGTAAAGTAGAATGTGGACAACAAAGAGGAAGCCCCTCAACAAAATAGAGTGCTTCCAATGATGGGCTCAAACAGCACTGGTTGTGAGGATGGTGCAGAACTGGGTACTGTCCTGTTGTATGTAGGGTTGGTGTAAGTGGGAACCAACTCATTGGCACCTGAGAACAATCCCCCAGGAAGAAGAATTAAGTAAATTAAGTTTTATTAAAACAGTCTACAAAATAGG